TTTGGATTGGCGTACACAAATAGATGATCACTCACACAGGCGGGGATTGTGTGTGTCTGTGTATCAATTAATTGTTCTGTCCGGCTATTTATAGATTTTGCGGTAAATTTGCTAATAATACTCAAATTTCAACAAGCCAGCAGCACCCGCACTCTAACGCCCATGGCACCTCGTCCAGCATTTCCCCCACCATATTTGCCCCGAGTTTATTAATAATTTGCAAACCGAACCCAATGAGCAGTTAAGAATAATAAAAATCATTTTATATGATCCATGATTCATGGCCATGACAACTCTGTGCAGAGACTTCGGCTGAGCTTAGCATATATGGCCAAGAATCGCCGAGATTCTGGGCTGACTAATCGTCTAAGGCGAAGGAAATATCTTCGGATCGGATTGGAGTAATCTGGTGGCGGCTCCAAAAACGGCACTGAGTTAAGTGGCTTATGCTGATTGGTTCAGCAATCAACAGATGATCGAAATTTGTCCTCAGAGCCATAAATAGAGATTTAGCAGATCTGAAAATATGAATATCAATTTTTTTATTAGCTTCAAACCGAACTATATTGGGCAATTAAAATAAAGGCATGGCTGATAAAATTATTTCTTAAAACATAGCCCTGAAATTTTGATTGGAAACATTTTAAATATCGTTTTTAAACGAGTTTTTTAATGTTTGAAGTCTCTTTACGAAAAAATACTAGTAATATTAATCCTAAATCAACATTGAATAAATACACTTTTTTATGTAACTTCATGGTAGTAAATATATATTTTTATATGATTAGAGATCCCATTTAAAAACATATATATAATTACGAAAAAACAAGTTTTATTTAATGAGCTACATTCACATGATATTACAAACATATTTTTTATGGAAACTCAAGTTTAACTCGAGTTTTAATTAATAAACTACATTCACTTGATACTTACAAACATATCTTTTTATAGCAACTCAGTCTTTCCATAGAAAACTTTTCCAAGACTCCCGAATGTATTTTGTGACGGAACCAAAGGTTATAAAATGTTATAGAAAAACCTGTGTCAAATCATTGTAAAGAAATAACGTCCATTAAACTAGTTGTAAAACAGCCTGTTAATTTATTTAAACATATATTTGAATTTAAAGAAATCAAGTTGTGAGAGACATCTTAATTTTCCCAGCCACTATTTGTGTGGAAACCAGCCAGGTTATTTGAAAACTCTCGAAAGAAATCGCATTTAATTAAACTATATGATGTGTGACTTTTATGGAGCACTTATTCCGGCACATTTGGGTTCGGCTCGATTCAGTTGTTCAGTTCTGTTCGGTGCCTTTTGTTCGCTTTGGTTTGGCAATGATTCGAACGCTATTAAAATCGCATTACCCCAACGGGAGAGTAGAAAACGGCGGAGGGCGGAGCACAGGACCAGTTTGAGGTCGCTCTGCTCTGGGCTTCACTGTGGTCCTGTCCTGGCACTCCGCACTTGGAATGGGCAGGGGCTGGGCCCCATCGATGAGGCCGATGAAGCCCATGATGATGATGATGATGGCTAATAGCTTTGTTAGCTTTTATACGTTTGTCTGGCTTGTGACTTTATTATGTCGTTCGATGCATTCGTTTCTTTTCGTCCCCCTTCCTCAGTCACTCCCTTGGCATTCGGAATTGGTTAACTCTCGTTGTTGGCCCATTGTCTTGGGCAATCGGCAATCGTCAACGTCACGGGCCTTGTCTTCATCTGGGCTGCAGCTGTAATCGGTTTGGGTTTCGGTTTTGAGTTTTTAGTTTTCAGTTTTGGTTTCTGTTTCCCTCGGACGGAATTGTACCAAATAAAGCTGAAATCTGAAGTCCCGAGCCCGTCTTGCCCCCAAGGGCCTGCCATTTGACAAATGTGCGTTTTTAGCCATCTCATTGTTGTGGCAAACAGACTTCAATATGCAAATACATTGAAATTAGTTGCCAGGCAGGGCGATCGGAATTGGAATCGGAATCAGCGGGGAGTTTTGGGATCCGAGTTTTAAGCTCTGGAGTCGTGTCTTGTAGTTGGCCTGTGGAATTTGCATGATTTGCCAAAGTCTTTGGGGTTTTTTTGTTGGCGCCGCTTGCGGGGGATTGCGACTGCGACTGATCTCGAGGCTTAATGGCCATGTGGCTGTAGGTTGTAAGTCGTAGGCATTCCGCTGTTAATTGAATTAAGCCCGCGACATGGTCCACTCCGAAGGTAATTGGCAGGAGGCAGCCCCAGTCGGGCTCTTAAGTGGAATTCGCGATGGCGAGAGTGTGATAAGAAGGGAGCTGGAGCGAAGGCCCATGCGTAAAGTGCATATATGTAAGGGGTATACCTACCGCCGATCATTAGAGGCCCCGTCTAGACGCCGTCTGCGTGCCATGCGTAACCCTTTCGGGAGCCAAGGAACCAGAACTGAGAACTGAGAACCCAGAACCCTAACCAATTTTCTGCAGCCCAAGTGCAACCCCGAGCTGGCTTAATTGCCCAGGCCTTGTCGGTTGGGTTGACGCCATGTCGGAACCATTAGAAACCCCGAACGCCAGCCCATAATCACTGGCCCCCGGTTCTCTTCCCTCGGCCACTTTAATTGGCACGACATCGCCGTCTATGACTGAGTCATGTAATATGCCGCCCGACGGGTCCCCAATTACACACTTCGCACAGAATAATTCGCAGGGCCGAGATCTTAGGAACTGGACCCCAAATTAAATGCCCTGCTAATTCCCACTATTGCTCGGCTATTTTCGGATCAACCTTAGGCCCCAGTCGCAGAACTCTCGGATTTCTCAACTCATTCACTCAATCGCACATTAACCCCGGCCCGAAAGACCGACCGATTTGGCGATTTGGAAATTGCGTACACTGCACACACATGTGGCACGATCATCATCGCCATCTCATCGCCATGGGCATTAAAGCTTTGAAATTGAAGCATTAAAGCGTGAACAATGAACCCACACGATAAGCCGGGAACCAAGGCGATCCAATTGAAATCAACTCGAGCCCTTGACCAAAATCAAGAATCGTATTTGGAATGGCAGACGAAGAGTGCTCTTGAGTTGAGCGATGGGGGAATCACGGCGACATTGAAGCTCGCTGTTACATAAGCGCCGAGGAAAACTGCGACTTCCTCGGCCCAGCACAGCACAATTCTCAATGGTGATTAATTTGAAGACCTCCACTTTATCAAAGTCATCTAATTCTTGTAGTCGAACAAAGAGCCGTTTCCTAGAAACTGAAATATGAATTAATGAGGCACATACTCGTATATTGTACAAGTATATCAAGTAGTTCCCACTTTTGATTTGCATTGTCCTTGTCAACTGACGCTTGACAAATTGCACCTAATCGCAGGGAGCGGACACAACAACACCACTTCAACCGATCGTCACGTAGTCAATCGCTGCATTCGCTGCTCTTTAATCATTCACATGTGTGTGCTGCGTTATCAAGTGCAGAAATTAACATATTATTCAGAACTCTACATACACAGGCCAGCATGAGCTTAGGTCTTATCAGGTCGGGTAGTGTGACAAATACCGATTAAGGGGGGTATATGAGGCCTAAATATGTTGTCTTAGCTCGAACTTAAAACGGACTTTAGCATGAAAACATGTATCAGATTTGTTCATTGATTAATAGGTAAAAAAAACTTTTAGAGATTAGGCTACAGTTGAAAGCTATTTCGAGCATTATATTATCTTCATAGATCGTTATAGAACTCGTAGATAAACCCTTTTCGTTTCTTGGTTTCACAGATTTTCTAATGTACATAGAATAAATGTTCCTTAAAGTTATATTCTAAATGGTATATTCGTTATTGTCATTACAAAATTATAAGATATTTCAAAGATAATAATTATAAAAGATTTATGGCTCGTTGAAAACCTCATTTCTTCTAGTGGTTCCGCAGATATTAGGGTACTCAGTGGTCCATTACTTTCCCTGGCCATTGGCACTTGTCCGAATGCCGGTGACATTTGTTAGGTCAAGCACCGATTTGGGCCGATTGGGCCCGTCCAATCTCTCTTTTTCTCAGCTCTCCCGATCGCCGCAGGGTGTGTCACACGATCTCCGATTGGGAATCGAACCGGGTCTTGGGATTACGCAGGGGATTGGGATTAGCGCTTAGTGATTCACAGAGATTTGTATCCGCATTTGGTGCGGTGCGTTTGGTTCGGCGTTTGCTTGGCGCCACTTTGAAGCGGCCAGAAATCAATAAAATAAAAATATAAAAAAACAACGAAAAAACCAAACCAGAGAAGCTGAACGACAGCAAATCTTTGGCGAAAATCGCTGTGCTGTGCTGGTTCAAGACAAATAATAAAATATTATGCGCCATCGAAATTAATTATAACTCAAACAAGCATTACAATATTCCCTGGCTGGCGCCAGCCCGTCAAAGATCATTAACATTTTTATGATCCGCCAGTCGAACAAAGAGCCACCACACATAAGCATAAGGCTCGTATCTGTTGTTACCTGAACCACTCGGATACATAGATACCTGTATTATATGTGTGTTGTCTACAGATACACGGATATACGCACCCATAAATCGCAAAACTAATAATGTCCAGGTTGTCTTAACACCTCCCAGAAAGAGGCGGGGCGAGGGCTGCTCTGATGATTCGCAGAATTCCATCTCTATCTATATGGCCTCATCTCTGGGGTTCCGGGCAGGGCAGTCGTAAAACCCAAAACGGGATGATTTACTATAGGTACTGGCCAAATTTCACATTTCACCCTGGGCGGCAAGTGTTTGCACTCTCCAAAAAAACAACAGTTGTTGCACGGGCACAGACACAGGCACACACAGAACACAGACACTGACACGCTGACAAATCGGTTCTAAATTAAATTCGAACAACAAAGTTGTAGGTACAAATTGGTACAAGACACCTGCAGAATATCCAAACAAATCTATTTTCGCCCGCTGCGCTGTTATTTTTAAACTAACCGGCTTGATCGTGATCTTTCTCCACCAAAACACAATTTCTTTCCAGTCATAATTCACGCAAGCCGCAGCCACAACAAAAAAACAAAACAACCAAAAAGCCGAAAGCATTTAACGAGAATTGTGCTGAGGAAAAACTAATAGAGATTTCCGCGAACATCGACCGATTGTGAAAATGTGTTGCCAATCAAGTGGCCAGTGGAAATTTTCTGCGCAGCAGCCTCAGAAATCGTCGGCGCCAAGGCGGCATCACTCGAGATCTTTCCTACGCACCCAGGTCCTGATCCTCACAATAATCCTGCTGGCGGTGCTCCAAGTTCAAACAGTCGCCGCCGGAGCGGGTGATAGTCTATCAGGTAAGTGTCATAGTTTTTAGACGATTGTTTGGGTTTGGGATTTTTAGAGATCAACCAAGATTTAATTGATTTCTATTAAATGGTGTGCGATTATTTTTAAAGACTATTCATACGCCTGGTTCCAGAAAAGACCTATAAAAAATGTTTAAAGGGTTATGTAGCTTTGAAATTTATTCTATACGCGTATTAAGAGTTTTACATTTAATGTTATTTTTCAGGTACTTTTTTTTAATTCCCCTTAAAACCCATTACTTTATCAATAAGTATTACGTACTTAAAATGTTCTTAATTTCATAGAAGTAAACTCCTATACCTTTTTCTGCAAGAGAGTTAATTACCTCGTAAATAATAATTTTAACGATCTCTTGAGGACCATTTCTAATTTGATTATGGTTTTATCACTTATTTTTTGCCTATAAATTTCATTCCCAATCCGATCGTAAAACTTTCAACTAACCTTGATGAAGATCAACATTCCAGCCGACATGGAAAATGTTATTCAAAAATTCCCTCAGCTGTGTACATCTAAGCGGCTTGCCGGACTTACGACAGATTATGACTATGAATCATGGATTTTAGCTGATTTTTACGAGCTTATAACAGCTTTAACTGCCAACCAATACGATCGGTAATAGAGCAGGGTTATATAGTTATTTCGAGTGCTTTTCTACGGAATTTTTTTGTAATTATCGAATGACTCATAGTTTTTGAACTCGCCAACCTTTCACCACGAATTGCTTCACATTAAATTAAAAGTAATAACTTAAAAATATTAAAAGCTCCTTATTAAAGCGTTGTACAAAAAATCAAAATTTTTGAAAAAATCACTTCAAACTCCAGATTAATTTTAGATTTTTTGATAATAACTATATATTTTTTTTTTTAAAGAATATTGTAAGATTTTTCCTGGAGTACCGTTCTTCTGTTGGGCGTACGCTTGAGAATACCGCTCGAACACGTGCCGCCGTCTGCCGCTCCTCTTAACCCCTAACCTGCCCCCCGCTGACACCCCTTAATCCTCTTTCCACTCAATTGGCTGGCGCTTAATCTGCGACTGTGATTAATAGGCGAACGTCGCCAATGCCAGTGGATGGGAAAGAGGGGAAGATGGGGGCTTTAATCGAGGGGTGGCGAGCGGAGGGGGTGGGAGGGTTCGGCGGGATTAGCTACTGACTGAGCATATTCAAGCGCCGTCTGTATCGCCGCCACTGGCTCGATTTTATTTTCGCTGTTTTCGTCTGGGCTCCTCTAAAATACACACATTGAGTGGGATTTTTTATGGGTTTTCGAGTGTGTTAAATGTAAATAAAAATCGCATAAATTAGATATATTGCAATGCCGATATCGGGTTACTTGAACCAAGTTCATTAACTGTTCTAGTCGAAAAGAGAAAGGAATGTAGAAAGTCTCCGAGCAGCAAACATGATATTTGCTTTTGATTCGGTAGAGGAAAATTTCCAATTGATTTAAAAATGGGGAAAATTGTAGGATTGGTATTGGGAAATGGAGTGGGGAAAACAGCAGGACACAATCGCATAACAGGAAAGAATGGACCAAAAACAATAATCATCCAAAGTCCAGCATCAAAGAACAAAGCGAACCAAAAACAAACAAGCGACCAAATTACACAGATTGTTTCTGGAGGGGCATCGGGAATGGGGGCGGCGATCAAGTAGGAGGGACGTCGATAATAATGCAGAATAAAACAAAGTCCTAAAGCCGCCCACAGAGATCACAAGAGAAAGAAGGAGAATAAAAGACCAAGAAGGTAGCTCGAATGGATCACCCATACAATTCTTTGTACACAGAGAACTAATAACATCAAATAAATATTTACAGTTAAAGAAACTTTAAGAAATTTTTAGAAACATTTTTTTAGTTTGAATATAATAATTTTCCTGACTCTGCCACAAGGATTCCATAAATTTTAAATTACATATCAATGTTTTAATAAGTTAGACAATTTTTTAATGAATTATATTTGTTCAGTTTTTTGAAATATTAATCGGCTAAATCGCTTTTAAATGCTAACAACTTATTAAATTAATTAAAAGTGGCTACACTTTATATACAACTGAACAACAGGGTATATTAATTTTTCCCGTGTAGCGCCGGCGTCTTCATTTACTGCCCTAAACAGCGGGTGAGAGCGAGAGGGACGGAGATTGTGTGCCTGTGTGTTTATCAGCACATTGCAGGTGGTCCTCGCTTTTCGGGAAGAAGAAGAGCGGGCTCAGCCTGCTGGGGTCGTGTCTTTCCTCTCCCACTCCCTCACTCCCGCTATACCATACCTGTCTTTCGGTCTCTGTCTCCGTCTACCTCTCCGTTTCCGCTTACCTTTTGTTGCCCCATTGTTATTGTTGTTCTTTTTGCTGTTGTTGTTGGGGAACATGTTTAACATGCAACTCTTGGCTACTTTTGACTTAAGCGCCAGCAAAAGAAAAAGAGGAAAACCCAAACAAAGTAGCAACAACAACTGATCGAGGTAGAAGGGTACTTACACAGAAAGAAAAAATTCTTAAATTTGAAATAAAAACAACACATAAGTCTAGAAAAATTTTACAAAATATACACATTTGTCTAACAATTCAAACCGATTAATTTTTATAGATTAAAGATTTTTAAATACCTAGTATTTTATATGTAGAAGCACCATTTATGAAACATTATTTTATAAAATCAAACTTAAAAGTCCCAAAACGATTTGTTATAAATTAGAGAGTATGTATAGGTATTAATCTCTTCATCAAGAGCCACCTTAGAAAACATTTAATTTCTTCCCGTGTAAGGTAAACACACATGTACATAAATCCAGTGGCCTAATCTCATTGACCTGCAGAAGGAGATCAGATGCATGGGCTAGCAGGAGAGGGGGTGAGTCCATTTTGGGTCACGTGCTCGGATAAGATCTCAGTCGGTGGGCAATTTCCGGCGTTTGTACATGCAATGAATCGTCTTGTTTGTGTTTGTTTGGTATTATTACATCAAAAGTCAACGTCAGAGGCAGGAAATGCAGTGGGAGGGTTCTGGTTCTCAAAGGGGGGATTAACTACCCACATCAGATGGGCATAGATAGCCACTTCACTAATCCGCACTCCAATTCTCTTTTTCCAGGCGTCCGGCAATCCTGCTCGAACGAGGGCGAAGAAGTGCAACTGAAGAACCAACCGCAGATTTTCACCTGCTTCAAATGCGAATGTCAGGTGAGTCGATGGGAAGTGCTTGCCACTTTAATTTCCATCCCCTACCCTTCCCGCCAAAACCTCGACCCTCTCTGTCAGCTTTTTTAAGGCTCCACGGATCCGTGCCAAGTTTGCGAGTGGAGCTGCTTTTTGGCCTCGATAAAAGTCACTTAAAGCGAAATGAAACGAAATGAAATAACATAAACATGCTTGCTGAAATAAATCTCTTGTACTCCGTCCCTTTCCCATCCATACATCTGTCTGTCTCCCTCTCAGCATGGGGCGACGCCAGTGTCCAGCCAGCAGGACATTCAGACTCATGTCATTGCAGTTACATCCTTAGCGGCCTGCCAAAATGAAAAATACCAAAAATGCCTCAAATATTTGAACAAGATTACCAGCCAACACTTGAATGCTTGAACTTTTGTGTAACGCTGACTTTACAGAGAACAATTTTAACAAAATGAGATAGGAAAGTCTTTAATTTGTTGGACTAGTCCCAACCTTTAATGCGATTTCTTGACCTCTTAGTTTTACTAAGTTTGTGGCTTTAAAATTTGCATAGTTTTAATAGTTTTTTGAATTACAGAATAGTTTCTTTAAACAATATTTACAACAAAAATTTTTACCCACCCATATGTTAATGATTTAATACGTTTTCCATCTGAATTTGCTATATTTTGTGCTCTGTGTAGTAGGGAAGGAATCTGAAGAAGAAGCTGAAGATATTGCCGGAATCTGTCGGAATGTTTGAGTATGTTTGCATTTGTTTGGCTTCGCATCTTCCTCTTCCTCTCGCCGACTTGCTCTCTCCCTCTCAGCCCCTTTTGGCCGTCCCCCCTTGTGAATTTTTATGATCCAAGGTCGTCAAACGGGTTTCGCGCCGTCATCCGCCGTGTGGGACGGGTAGCACGGGTATCTCGGGTAGCGCGGTATTGGCAAAGGGTATTCGGTTCGGTGTTGTTCGATCTCGGCACTAGATCGTCGCCAGCGACAGCCTCCGTCTTTCACTCGCCATCTCTTTCTCTTTCTGTTTCGCTGCTCAAACGGCGGCTTCGTGTCGTCATTAAGCGAGCGCGTGCTCATCTGGCTGATCGGTGGAGGAGCGAGAGAGGTGGAACGGGGCACAGGTGGAAAGCGAGAGGTGGCAGGGTTGACAAGGCACGGGAAAAAATATTTTAAAATTCTAATTTCTTGATCTGGGGAGGGATGAAAAATTAAAGGAATTTTTGTATTCAAAAAGAATGCAACAGAAAATTTGTCCTGATATCCTAGATTCGTCACTGGGAGGTCTTAATAAGCAATTTATCTTCACAATTTAAATTAAATAAATATTACTTATCTAGTCAATGCCAAAAGTTGATTAAAAATTGTTTGAAAATACCTAAGCTAATAACTTAATTTTTTGATAAAAAAAATACAAACATTAAAACCTTATTTCAATTCAGTTTATACATACATTCACATTTTTATTCCTATTTCGAAAAACAAATTATTTGGAAAATGCGTTTGAGAAAACATACCCAGTAGATCATTAGTTTAAGAAGATATTTTTCACTGTGGGGCTGTCGTGAGCCTGCTGCTAATTTAGCGCTAAGCGCTGCTAAACGCCGCTGCTCCAATTTGAGCGGCAAGCGTTCAAGCTGGCGCCGACCGATCGATGGGCGATCGGATCGATCCAAGCGATTCAAGCGATCGAAACGAACCAAGATCGATCGATCGATCGCTGAATCTTTTTTCGCCTGCGGCTGAGCTTCGCTTCGCTTCGTTGTTATTATTATTTCCATTGTTGCTGCTGTCGTCGTCGTCAAGTGGGCGTAACCGAAATTAAAAAGCAGCAGCAAAATCAGCGGGGGGAGCAAATGGCGAAAAAAAAAGAAACGATACTGGCGCCACCTTACTGGGAAGGCGCCATCAGAGTATGTCCGTCTCTTTCCGGATCGACCGCATGCTGCATCTCAGTCGCACGCGCTGGGGATTCGTCGCTCGACTCATTAAAAGTTCATGAAATCGAATTTAACCCGAGTTCGGCGGGATTTCTCTTAGCTCCGCTCTTAAGATAACCAAACAAAACGCTGCCCAGACGAAGCGTGCAAAACGTTAAGCTGTAATCGGGGCTTGAACGCATAAAACCGATAAATAATGCCTACTTTACGCGGCTCCCGTAATGTAAGTCTCGCTGGGTATAACCACCCATTTAAGTCGAAAGTTTACGACTCGCATTTATTGTCTAAAATACATATGAATATATGTGTACACGTTCATGCATAGAAAAAGGCTTCCAAATCGTCAGGGACAATCACAGAAAATGGTACTCCTCCCCCCCCAAAAAAGCAACACAAATATTCGCTTTTATGCGAATATTATGCTGAATCCGCTGAATTCGCACTTAATGGCTTATGATTTAAACGCTTTGCGGGGGGACGTCTTCATCCACGATTGAGCAGAACTTTTATGTGAATTTGCAAATGAAATTTCGGTTCTCGAAATGGGTAAACATGTGATTAGAGGATACGGCCAGTGATTGATAAATATTAACTAGGTACTTTGAATTAATATTAATGAAAAATGGAAATGGGGTTGGCATATTTACTTTCCTTCTGTATTAATATTAATAAGGGATTTACGATCGCCAGGGGCAAATCAGTAAATTGGAATCATTAGAGCTGTTTCGGTGTGCATAACTTGGACTAAATAAATTCACATTTGCGAATATGGAATTCTAGAGCATGGACAAACCAGATTTGGCCAAATAATTTCATACAGGTCTGCCAACTCCTTTCCTGCAAATTCTTGGGCAGACCGTTCTAAACCCGATTCCAATTCCGTTTCCACAGCCAATTTTAATCCAAGACCAATTCCGATTCCCATTTGAGCCGTAGCCCACAAGTGACAAAATACACATGACCATAAAACCACAAGACAGCCATTACCATATTCACTCCGTGTCTAGAGCGGCAGACTCCAACCTGGCCAACTTAACTCCGAGATGGCCGGCAGAAAGAGAGACGGAGACGGTGTTAAAACCGATCATGTTTTGTCAAACGCAAGGTCGTTAGAGGCCGTTTGCAAATGTGGTTCTGCCACTGTGGCAAACACACATACACGAACTGCCGCTGGGCAAGATCCGAAACAACAACAACAACATCCATCCTCCATCCACCGACCACTCTCCATCATACAATGCTACTTAGCAGCTCGGGTTGCCATCGTGGCGCCTTTGGCTTTTGCTTTGGCAATCTCTCGCAGAAAAAATGCCTCAACTTTCATGTTGGCTGGGGCATTTTTCTATACCGGTTCCCGATTAGAAAGAAAGAATTCCGAAGCATAAACAGCTGGATGCGATGCCAACTCGCAGTTGGCCAAGAGATCAAGTCGAAACTCTGGCCGGATTTCGAGAGCATGTGAACTTTGATCCGTGAGATACGACCAGCGATTAGAGTGATTCTCAATCTGTCAGCTTACCGTGTATCAAAAGATGCACAGAAAACAAATAATAGTTACCTATCAAATATAGGTATTTATATATAGTGAATCGAATCTGAACATTTTAACAAAAGTAATTAATTAATCTCTAAACTGTTTCTGATAATATATTGCTCGATTAAAGAATAATGGAATAAAATATATTTTACTGTACTTATTCAAGATACCATATAAAAATTATGACTATTAAACTGTTTTTTTTCTGTAACTCAGCTGACCTTTACTATCGGTAATTTTGTTTTTCGTGTAGAAATCGGAGCTGGGGGAGTTACGACAATGCCGCACTAAAGTGCCATTAAAATTCCAACTAACAACTGCCATTAAAACTAATACGATGATAAACATCTAGCAGCCATAGACCGCGAATGCGACTGCGACCGAGACTCTCGAGATTTTCATTTTCATAACAATTGCAAATTTTGCACGTTGCGGCCCCATCCAAATTGAGATCCAATCTGGTTTGCTTGCACTAAATTATACACACACACAGTTGCTCGAATACCCAGACCAACATTGTTCGGAGCAACTGCATACAAATTAGTGAAATATTTTGCCTGTTTTTGGTCGACATCTATCTAGATTTATAGATACATTTACAATTAGTGGCGGCTCCGGCTTCGTCTACGACTCGGGCTCTATTATTACGGCCGGGCTGGATTTGAATCTGAATCGCGGAATCTGAATCTGGCTTTAACCTGTCACAGCCAGCAGCTGTTTGCCCCACTCAAGGGTTAAAGTTAAAGGCAACAACAACGGCAATTGCAATTGCACAAGTTTCCAAGCCAAGTTGCCGGCCAAGTTGCAACAGTTTGACTTATGATCAACATCAATTCCAATGCGCCCCGCTGCAGCTGTCAGCATGTCGTTAACAGCCGAATGGCTAGAAAATCCAGATGCATAGATACCAGCATATAAATATATATCTAAGCTGATTCCGAGCTGCTTACCTGTGGGCAGGCAATCAGCCGAGGGATCAACTAACGAGTTGCACAGAGATCGAGGGGTTTTCGGTCTTAAGGATAAATTACTGCAGCATAAATTAATCGACTTTGCATAATCCCAGTTCATTTTCCACTTTGACTTTCAGAGAGGAAAATAAGACAATGTTATTTCTGATTTGTTATCGTATTATCAAGTCATGAAACGGAACTATTTAATTAAGATCAATGGGTGAAATATTTAAATCAATTAGTTTTGCATCTAAAGGAAGAAAAGGTTTAATAATTCTATAAATTCATTTTTTTTTGGGATGCCGTAGTTAAAATATAAATTAAAATTCTCTGTGTAGCTTACCCCAAATGAAGTACGAGTCAAAGCAATCGCCACGCCCAAAGTAAATTACACTGAAGGTCAGAGTGCAGAGCTTCATTGAGCAATGGCAATTTCGAAAGCAATTGCTGGGTAGTAAATCAGGTGGAGGTGTTTTTTATGGGAAGGGAGGTGGAACCATATATATATCGCTCAGCTGCTCGGTGACAGCCATCTTTCACTTGGCTAAGCGCATTTGTGCAAATTGCGCATACGCCACATTGGACTGAAAAAATATATCTACCTTAAAGCTAATATTTCATTTTATTTGAATTTTACAGAACGGTTTCGTCAATTGCCGTGATACCTGTCCGCCCGTTAATGATTGTTATATTTTGGATAAGTCCAACGGAACTTGTTGTCGCAGGTGTAAAGGTGAGTTAGCTATTTATAAATGGGATATAGAGTGAAATTACAGAAAGAATATTACAATTTTAATATTAATAATAATATTATTTTATTATTCTTAAAGGTTGCTCTTTCCGTGGCATGTCCTATGAGAGCGGTTCGGAGTGGAGCGATCCGGAGGATCCCTGCAAGACCTACAAGTGCGTGGCCACCGTGGTCACCGAGACGATCCAGAAGTGCTACTCGCAGTGCGACGACAACCAGTTACAGCCACCTCGGCCCGGCGAATGCTGTCCCACCTGTCAGGGTGAGTTCTTTCGGTCTTCTTGCCCCTCCTCCGATTAAATCCAGACCAGTCTTAGTCTCAGTTCCCCGTCCCCAGTAGCATCACTCACTAAAATTAGCCAGATATTCCGCTAATGCCTCATAATCGTTAGACAATAGAGAGCCAAGCAGATGGACAATCTTGGCTTGATGCTCTGCGAACGGGTATTTCGAAATTCATAATTATTTGGAAATAAAAGTGGAACCAAGGCAAAGTAGATCATCGCTGATAGGGCCAGCATTTCGATGTCTCTATTACCGAAAATGATTTATTCATGGCCCCATCTCCGATCGAAATCTCCGCTGATCCACTGCGATCCGTGTTGATCTGTTTTGATCTGTTCTCCGCGACGCGTCTGTTATTGTTGGCTCCGCTTATTTATGGGCCTTAAATTGTCTATTAAGGCGACATTGTCGCCCCGCATATTCGCATTGCGATCGCGGCTGAGAAAACAAAGGCAACACCATGAATCTGTATCTGTATCTGAATCGGAATCTGAATCTGGGGGCCCTCCTATGACGCTGCCTATGCAAATGCGGTAAATGCGGTAAATGCCGCTTGGAAACCCGTTTCGCCTTGTGGAAAATTTCTTGGCCCGTGGCCAAGCAAATCAAACCCAACTAAATCATAAGTGTCTGATGGCTAATGCCCGATGTCTAATGTCTAATGCTTAATTTCTAATGTCTGATGGGATTGCCTCGTTGTCGTTTTCAGGCTGCAAGATCAACGGACAGACGGTGGCCGAGGGCCAGGAGGTGGACGCCTCCATCGACGACCGTTGTCTGGTGTGCCAGTGCCGCGGGAACCAGCTGACCTGCTCCAAGAAGACCTGCCCGGTGCTCCCGTGTCCCATGTCCAAGCAGACCAAGCGGCCGGACGAGTGCTGTCCGCGGTGTCCGCAGAGCCACAGTTTCCTGCCAGTTCCAGGTGAGTTTGCTATCAGCCAATCCTATTCCCAAGAAAATAACTATTTTGATTTTTCGAAAAATATATAAATATTTTATATGAACATGGAATTCGGGTCCATTAAATTGTACCTGCTGCTACCTCCACCAATTTGTTTTCCAAATTCATGTTGCATTTAAAGAAAGCCATAAATTCCAAGAATAATATTAAAGAAATTTTGATATATTATCACACTCAAACTATTTATAGAAACTTTCTATACATTCGTCTGTATACAGACAAGCTATAAAATAATTTTGTAAATTTATTTAAATTTGGCTCAAATTAAAATATATTTCAAGGTAATAATATCTGAACCTTTAAAATTTTAAATATTAACATAAATGTCACCTGGAATTTACGAAAATAAAAACATGTTCAAATTATTTAAAAAATCGTAAAATGCTTCCTACTTATATATTTGTTTTCTCAATCTCTTTTCCCCAGGCAAGTGCCTCTTCAACAAGAGTGTTTACCCCGAGAAGACACAGTTCATGCCGGACAGGTGTACGAATTGCACCTGCCTGAACGGCACCTCCGTCTGCCAGCGACCCACGTGCCCGATCCTGGAGTGCTCCCCCGAGTTCCAGGAGCCGGATGGCTGCTGCCCTCGCTGTGCCGTCGCCGAGGTGCGGAGCGAGTGCAGCCTGGACGGGGTGATCTACCAGAACAACGACACCTGGGACATGGGACCGTGTCGCAGTTGCCGCTGCAACGGAGGCACCATCCGCTGTGCCCAGATGCGCTGCCCGGTGGTCAAGTGCCGGGCCAACGAGGAGCTGAAGCAGCCGGCGGGCGAATGCTGTCAGCGATGCGTGGAAACGGCAGGAACCTGCACGGTGTTCGGGGATCCCCACTACCGCACCTTCGACGGCAAGTTCTTCAGCTTCCAGGGCAGCTGCAAGTACCTGCTGGCCTCCGACTGTCTGGGCAAGACCTTCCACATCCGGCTGACGAACGAGGGACGGGGAACAAGGCGCGCCAGTTGGGCCAAGACGGTGACCCTGAGTCTGCGCAACCTGAAGGTCAATCTCGGCCAGCGGATGCGGGTCAAGGTGAACGGAACGAGGGTCACGCTGCCCTATGTGGGCGTGGCCGGTGGCCAGAACGTGACCATTGAGCGGATGGCCGACGGCGGAGCCGTGATGCTGAGATCGGAAATGGGTCTAACATTGGAGTGGAATGGAGCCGGCTTCCTGCAGGTTTCGGTGCCGGCGAAATTCAAGCAAAGGCTGTGCGGTCTGTGCGGCAACTTCAATGGCAGCTCCCGGGATGATCTGACCGGCAAGGATGGTCGCAATCACGGGGACGACGAGGTCTGGCACTTTGCCAACTCCTGGAAGGTGGGCGGGCCCAAGTCCTGTTCGCGGAAGCGTGAATCCCTGGCCGCCACGCCCACCTGCGACAAGCGAAAGTCGAATTTCTACTGCCATCCGCTGAGTGTTCCCGCCCTGTTTGGGGAATGCCACGAGCGGCTGAATCCGGAGAACTACAAGGCCGCCTGCCGGATGGACGTGTGCGAGTGTCCCTCGGGCGACTGCCACTGCGACAGCTTTGCGGCCTATGCCCACGAGTGCCGGCGACTGGGAGTCCAGCTGCCCGACTGGCGGAGTGCCACCAATTGCCCCTCCGGCTGGCGACACAATGCCACGCTCTCGAGCTTCAAGGGCAACCAGTTCTACGGGGATCCCAGCTTCAGCCGGATGAAGGGTCGCCGGCGGCAGAAGAACCACCAGCTGAGGCTGCAGCTGCAGCAGGAGCAGCAGCGGCAGCGGAGCAAACAGAAGGGGCGGCACAAAGCCCAGAACCAGCTGGACCACGCCCACAATCGACTGGACCACAAGGATCAGCTGCAGAAGGAGTTCATCCTGAAGCACGTGCCCAGCAGTTTCCTCTATCCGCGTGCGCCGGATCGCACGCCGCCGCCCCTCCACTAAGTTAGTTACCCCCTTAGTTAACCATTTAGTTAGTTACTACACACACACATGAGCACGCCCATCCGCACAGGGAAACCTAGTTGAATTCGCTCCCATGACAGCCAGGCCACAGTATTAAGCTGAACGTCCTCTGGAGTAGGCAGATATATATATAAATATATACCTTTATATACACACGTAGCATCGAAACACTCATCCTGTCGCCATTTCGTGTAGCCTAAGTTTTATTTATTTTAGCTTTAGTAATCGAGTTTTATTCGGAGAGCCTGTTGTTTGTGTGCCTGTTTTGTATTCGTACTTGTATTTGTATTTGTATTTGTACTCCTGTATGTGCGCTGAAACTAAAACTAAACTAAAAACTGATCTAAAAACTAAACTATAACTAAACTGTAACTAAGCTAAGCCTTAGCTAAGTGTACTTAGAACTTAACGCAGTCCTAGCCGAAGTACTTGATAATGTTTGCTTAAAATTTAAGCCCAAGAAAGGAGGAGGATATGGAGAAGGAGAAGAAGAAGATGAAGAACCTACCCAACTACTATGAGAATTGCACAACAGTATTTTTGCTTAGTTGAAACTTGAACGAGCCCCTAGAAGATCCCCAGAACTCTCAACTCAACTCGACTCTCCCCCTACTCAACCCTACTTAACCAACTCGAAATTCCGCTTATCTCAAATTAACCAACTTTTACCCAAACTGTGTTAATATTTATACAACTACTATCGCCAGCTAATTATGCACTTAACCAGCGGAAAAGGGAGACAACTCTTTGCCATTTTTCAATTTTACAATTTAATCGAGTTTAAAGTTTAAAATTTAAAGTTAATGTAATGTACTATAATAACGTCTTTATATACTACCTGTATGGCTGGATCTGTAAATTTACGATATAATGAATATCCCAAAAGATGAAGAAATGAAAGAAAAACAAAACAAAAACCAATGCCACAAATGCAAGTGGATAAAATGGAAATATATGAAAAAAAAAAAAACAATTTAATCTTTGTGTTTTAACTGGGGAAGGCGGAAATGGAACTTTATAAAATTAAATAACAGAAAAAACATTATTCAGAATTGACATTGAGTAGCCATTTAAACAGAGATTTAAGATTAAACTATCCAAGTCGAATTCACAAGTAGTTAAAGTTTAATACTTTTTGAAACAGTATACCCTTTGGCTCCACTCGTAGCCAGCATAAAAGCATTTGGCATGTGGTGTTCAAATTGGGCAGACCAATCTCTAAGCCATTAAAAAGACATGACAGTTGACCAGCTCGAATAGCCTGTGGGAACTTCAGCTGCTGACTCTAGAGGATCTCCGGCCAACTTGTGTTTATTGTTCTTAGCTCGTGTGTGGCATCAGTTTCAGAGGCACGAACTCCAACTCTCCGCGACGACACTGCGTCTGGGGTGGCTTCGAATGCGAATCGAAAGCTGATTCCTATTCCGATTCCATGGCCACGGAAGGAAGTGAAGTGGAGTGCAAGGGCCACTCCAGAGACCCAGAGATTCGGGACCCACAATCGGGCAGCGAAACTCAGTCTGGCTGGCGTCGAATTACGGGGCATGGCCATTAGCCATTATCCATTAGAGTCCCTCGTCCAGTTGGGGGCAATGCCAATTTATGCATGTTTGCTTAGCAATAATTGTCAGCGATGTCTAGGGTCGGGCTGGCATGGCAGGCAATTCCCATTCCGCGTCCAATTCCCAGGGCAAGATTGTCTGTAATTCGAATCAAACTTACTGGGCAGCCGCCTGTGGAATTCTGAGAACGAGGCGGGCGCTCGTAAATTCAAGCGATCCGATCGCTGGCGATTTAGACGGAAAACACAATCTGCCATGGCCACTGGATCATGGCTCGCGGCTCATTGAGGAAAGCAGTCTACACAGGGAAAAAATTAGATACTATTATTACCATGACCCTAAACCTTTTTAAGAATTTTTATGATCTTTATAATGATCAAATATGTTTAAAAATCTAAAGAAAGCTTATTATGAATTTAAAAAAGATAATCAAATTGAAAAAAAGATAAAAAATTAAAAATTAAATAGTTTCTTGAAAGTCAAACATTTAACGGATTATATTTTACTTTTAGGTAGATGTTTAAAAGAAATATAAGAAAATTCTGAAGTGATTCCAATTAAAGTGATATCGAAAACATAACATTACATGTTGCTTTAAATTCATATATCCATTTAAAATAGGTGAATTTTTCTGTTTGTGTATGTTACCACGCAGCAGGCACGTGCAGTGAATCCCGAAACAAGTCGATCGATCAGGTTGATGCCACTTCCAATTGCAAGTGCCTGCCGCCTGATTGATGTCCGTCCAGGGGCTTCTGCAGAAATCTATGGGCACTTAAACTCGATCTTGGACCACGGTGACATCTGCCTGTTCGGATCGCCTTTGAGCGTTTCCGCGTGTCGCTCCTCTGGAGACGCCGGCGACGCGTGCTCAGTCCTTATCGGGCGCTAACCAGTCCATATCGGACCAGCTGCCATATAGCCACCTATTCCGCTGGGGCATCTGCCGATCCACCGATCCACCAATCCAGCAGACCATTCCGACGATGGTGTGGCGCCATGGCGTGAGCCAAATTTGGCATTTGGTGAAATGTCTTCTGTCGGACGAGTGGCGTTTACTGCATTCCCCAAGGGGCGGCATTAGACGACGACGGACCCGTGTTCATAACTCATAATTTGAAGCCCCATCCCTTCGCGTTGGTAGCCACTTAAAATCCACAATTTATCAATTTCTCTGGCAAAAGCAGCTGCGATGAGATGTCCGGCGATAAGCCGAGTCGAGCAAGGACAATTGATGCCATTGGTCATGCATCATCTGATACACAAGGGAAAATAATCATTTAAACCAATTTAACTAGAATAAATAAGTACCTAAGAGGATTTTTCATTACCACCTTCATTACAGTATTGTTTCGAAACTATAAATTTTAAATATAAATAAATCAAACATTATATTTGTGTGGATACCAAAATTTTTAACTCAAATGACAGCATTTCCGATGAACTGCAAATTTTTCTCTGTGTAACATAAGCATCCAAGGATGCGACTCCAAAGTGTGCATAAGCGAGTGGAAACGCATGAATCATCCGGCGGATGCGTGGGAGCATCCATTGTCATCGGTTTGGCCATTAGCGCGTACATCCATATGTCAGCGGCTTCCAGCGAAGAGCCACCCACGTTCGAATGGCTCAAGGGCTGCACTTCGACTTTGGGGGCTGGGAGCACAAGGATTTGCGGGGTTGACCACGCACAAGCCATTTTCCGGATGCGGGAAAACCAAAGCTGTTGACAGAACTGGACAAATGAAGCATTATTTATGTTATTGATACGGCGCCACTATAGGCTGGATGACCACTTTAGGTACATCCATATGTCAGCGGCTTCCAGCGAAGAGCCACCCACGTTCGAATGGCTCAGAACCCAGAAAAAATGTGTGTTCATGGGGGGTTTTTTTTGTATCACTTCAAACAAACATATAGAAAAGTTATGAACCCAAAAAAGTATCGGGGAAGTTACGCCAATCCCTTGAGATTGGAAATTATTTTTAAATTTGTCTAAAAGATTGACTTCCTAAGAGGAAAAATATTCTACCAAAATAATACATTTGTTTAGGGGTTTTTAATTTTTAGATTTGATTGTTTTAATATTTCCTTTGAACTTGAACAAAAATATAAGAAAACTTAAAAGAAACAACACTAAAATAAACTACCTTTGAATTTGATAACAAATATTTTTTTGTAAAATTTTGTATACATTTCACTTAATTGATTTCATTTTTAATCTTTTTTAAAATGAAATAACGGTTATAAATCAGTATGAATGGGATTACCCATGAATACTTTCCGTTTTATAATTTTAATTTAATTTAAATTAATTTAAATGTAAATACAATAAATAAATAACTATTCTTCAGTATTGGGTCTAGCGCAGCCTCAAACCTCTTCTCTAGCTAATTTTTTCGCCGCGAAAAAATTAACATTTTTGTGGACGACGTTAAAAAACGTCCTCCACTTTTAACATTTTTGTGGAGGACGTTTTTTAGGAAGGAAAAAAATTGGATGCTTTTAGGCTGAAAAAAAAACAATTCTCCAACAATTCTCCAAATTTGGAGAAATAAAAAATGTGGCGCAAGCTTTAAATAGGTTGGCAGCCCCAAAACGAATTGGCGCTAAAATTTGAAACAGATACAACAAATACAGTCGACCATTCACAGCTCGAACCATCATTTTCCAATAGCTCGAGCTCGAAAATAGAAAGAAGATCCCCAATGAAATAAAAAACCATTTCTCATCTCATATATATTTTGATTGCGTTTGTGCTATTTTTATTCCGCTTGTTATTTTGTAATACTTTCGTCTTTTGGAGCAAACAAACAAATTCAACTACATTGGCTCGAGGGGAGTTTTTTGCTTTTTTTAATCGTTTTGTTTTTTGGATTAAACGGGGATTTCGCCTATGACTAATATGTATATTTTAAATATAGCTTTCCACATCCGTTAACTTAACATTCTTAGGTTCTTCTTGTTTTGTGTGTGTTTTTCTTCTTGTCCGCTAATTAATTAAGGTATTTGACTAACAATTAAAATATAATCGAGGTACTATTTAAATTAGACATTCTTCTAATGCTCATAATTTGCGTATTGTGCATGCAATTTGACTATTTTGTTTGGGGATTTGGGGGGCATTACGTTGGACCCTGCGTTCTTTAGACGAGGCTAATGCTAAGGCCCATTGGTAATCGCAGGCCAGAGAGTTGTAGAGATGTTTGGTGTCGGGAATTATGGCCCCAAGTTACGAGAATCCGAATCCCACTGGGTGACCCAGTCTTATCTGGTCGCAGAAATCTCGCAAAAATAGTAGAAACAAAGAACTGTTGCTTGACCATTAGTTGAGGTCTAAAATCTGTAAGAATGATTGGCGGGCAAACATTCCCTGAAGGTTTCCGCAATTTAAAGCAAATTGTGGCGCTCTAAGCTGGAATTTAGAAATCCAAAGAAAGGAAAAGTTATATGCCCCAATTACGTAAGCATGAATGATGGA